ATGAGATGAGTTTATTTAACGTGTATGCATCAAGCCAACAAGTTTCTCCCATCACAATTGGTTCAGGGTCAAGAACCAAATAATTTTCATCTAAAAATTTGATGTGTGCACATATGATTTTATTGCTTCACCACACACAAAGATAGATCCCCAAATGAGGTTGGGGTAAATGTTAGATTTCTTAACATTAGGGGGAGATATGTTTAGCAGCTGAAAATTATGTGTGTGGTGAATTATCTAGATCCTCGTTAAGAAAAAATATGAACTTGAAGTTCAAGAGATAATTCATTTTTAAAATGTTGCAAATAATTTTCCAGATGTATTTGTTGACCCAATTATATTTTAATTAAGCTGCAAATGCTCCAATAAATAGTCCTTGAAGGACAGAGCCTATGGTACGCCAGAAGCATGATAGACCAATCGATTCCAAACATAAAACTTCTTGAGGAACGAGAGGAGCAAATTATCAAAATGGTCATGATAATGAGGTAAGTGTTTTTAAAGAGCACTATGACATAACACTTCATAAAACCCTGGCAAAGATTCAGGTACCTGAAAATGATGAAAATGAAGATCTCGATAAGTTATGTCGTATTGGAATCTATATCAAAATGATCGTCGACGATATCTTTGATATGAAGTAGCACTCAATGCTATAAATGTTACGAGGATCTTAAATTTGAATCTGTCATATAGTGTGGACAGATAAATTATTGGCACTATTCAAGTATATTTTGTTTCACTTAGAAAAGTGATGCTTTTTATCTTATAGTTCATGGATCAAAATATAATGTCAGTGTGGTACAAATGAATAATTGTGCGAAGTATAACCGTAAGATATAAAGTGTGGTATGTGCCTCTAGGCATAAAATGTTTTAGCAAAAATTCTGACATTATTAAATAGAGATTTATTCTCCAGTGGTGGATGGAATGAGACTTGTTTCAGTCTGGCAATAGATGAAATACTTAAATATGCATAATGAATGATTATTATGTCTAACTAGATGATGAAGGTTATATGAAAATCCTTGAAGGATTTAAAAGGTCTTAAAGCAATTCCATTGAGTACCCAATGATTTTGAGACTGCTTAACACAGAGAAAAAATATTTTTGATCTCATGAAAATAATTTAAAATGTCATGTATTAGTGCAATTGGTGCACTTACAGATTGTTGGTTATGCAAATGCTAGAAGATTATTTGATATACATAACGAAAGTTATGTGAAAGGATTGACATATTATCATTCAAATAATGACAAGACACTAACAAAGCAAGTGACTCAACACATAGAAAATGTGTGATTTTCTTTCAGAAGAAAGGGTGAGCTTCAATAAAATTGAAATGATCAATCCCCGAGTCAGAAATGATTTAATTATGTAGATGCATAATATTTATTTGATCTGCACAAAGCTCGATCGCAAATGAACTATTATTTACATATGGAGACACAACAATAACTTGAAAATTCAAAGAATCACATTAGTAACCACTTCTTCAAATCATGCAGAAATAATATTGATGTATGAATTAAGTCGGGAGTGTGTTTGTTTGGAATCATGATCTATCATATTCAGAAAGTATGTAATTTTCTTTTGAAAATGATATTTCAGCCACCATATACGAAAATAATATGTAGCTCAATTGAAGGGAGGATACAATCAAAGGAGATCAAACAAATCATATTTCACCAAAAGTCTTTTTCACACATGATCTTCAACAAAATGGTGAGATTGACGTTCAAAGACCCATTCAAGTGATAATCTTGTAAACTTATTCACTAAGGATTGCCAACATCAATATTTGAGAAGTTGTGATATAAGCTTGGAATGCATCGTCTCCGAGATATCAAGTAAAGTTTTTATCAGAAGGAGAACATATGCGTTGTACTCTTTTCCTTAACCATGATTTTATTCCAATTGGGTTTTCCCGGTAAGGTTTTTAATGAGGCAACATTCAAAGCGTATTAAAAGATATGTATATTCTTTTTCCTTCACTAGGATTTTTTCCCACATGTTTTTTTCCTAGTAAAGTTTTAACGAGGCATATTATCTATGGACATCCAAAGGGGAGTGTTATAAAATATTATAGTGTGAATGTCCATTACACCAAGAAGTTACTCTCACCCATTATCTCTATTACTTTCCTCCATTATGAAGATAATCATAACCTTCATAACCTCCAACTTTACAACCATAATTCTTGTAACCTTTCACTTGCATAACCTCATCCATTATATTCATGTTAATATCATGTTTATGACTAACCTTTTGTATGCCTCTATGTTACACTATAAATAGAGGCATAAGGGTTCATATTGTATACACTCAAAGACTTGAAATAATAAGAAAAGCTCTCATCTCTTGTCTCCCTATTTCTATTGCTTTCATTTTCTATATTTCTTGTCTTATTTTGCTTTAGTTTTACAACATAAATTTAATTTTTTAGTGTTTTAAATTACTAAATTCTAGATTAAAAATTCAAAATTTAGATTAAAATTACCCAATTCGCATAGACTCGTAATCCACAAGACAAAAAGGTTAGAAAAAATATAATACACGGTCAAGGGCAGGATCTAAAGCCTACTAGAGTGTATGTGTGTGTAATGCAAGAAAATATGTACAGACAAATCCATACCAAAAAATATATAAATCGACAAATTAAGCGAAATATTAAAAGTCAAAATGTTCCTAAATAAAATATTATTGAGTACATATGATCCACAAGTTTTTGCTTGCTACCAGTCTGCTGATTTCATAATTGATTATTTTTTAAAAGGTTACAATATTCAGTGAGTTGGTAGAACCAGCAAATGGAGGAGAGAAGAAAGGAGGTGTAGAAAAAAAGATAAAGCTATAAGGATTAAATGGTCTATATTATAATATCAATGGGGTGATTAGGATAGCTCTAAATTATTAGTGCATCTTCATCTCATTTTATTATATATAAAAAAAATGTCTTGATTAATAGGTCGGGGTTGTAAATAAATTGAGTTTAATTAAATGTGGAGTAATAAAATAACAGTACCATATATTTTGTTAGAAAATGCACCTACTTTGGATTATTTCTTCATTAAAAGAAAAGGCAGACTTTCTGATGGTGTTTGAATTAATTTATTTTTAGATATTTTTATTATTTTTAAACACTTCTTAATTTTTAGAGGTCTTCAACAAAGACACAAAGTACTTAAAAACACTTTACTTTAAATTTAAAAAGATACTTTTGGTTTTTAATTTTTAATTCACATTAAAAAAACTTAGTCAAAAACTCCCTTTTTAAGTTTAAATTTAGAAAAAATACATAATTAGCCCCATTGAACTTATATCATTTTTTAAAGTAGACACCTTAAGTTTGTGAAAGTCTTATTACCCCACGAAATTATTTTCAACCAGAATAAATATACCATATTTACAGCATTTACAATCTCATTGTCAGCGAGTGTGTCTCACCCCAAATAAAATAATGTAACTTTATTTTTTTCCAGGTTCTTTAATAAAGGGTTGGGTAAAACCTAGACCCGTTCAAAATCTTGACAAATTCCCTTTTTTATCTTAAACATTTTGTACTAAATCACGATGAAGAAGAACATTCTCGATTACTAGAGAATTTTAGAAACTCCATTACATATGTTTGTAGAACTTTAACAGTGGTGTATAGAAGAAGCTCCATCATTGGAGAATTTCATAGTGATAGCTCAAATGGCATCTTCTTTGTTTATGGGTACACAAGATTGTGATCAAGTTAAGTAAACAATACGGGCTCAATGTTATCAAAACATCTTTGAAGAAGTAGGGAACGAACGGATGCATCTCATGACCTTCATCGATCTATCTGTTATCAAACCCTAAATGGTACGAACATGCATTAGTCTTTGCAGTTCAAGGTGTATTCCTCAACTCATTCATATTTGGCATCTCCAAAATTAGCTAATCAGATTGTTGGGTTCTTAGAGAAAGAAGCAGTGAATTTGTAATTAAACTGATCTGTTTTTGAGAACTCGCCAACTCTAGAGTTTTTTTGTTAATATAGAAAAGGGACTTTTTGAGAACTCGCCAACTCCAAAAGTTCATATGACATCTCACATGGGTTTATAAATCAAACCATAGAATTGACATAAGAGATTATTATTTTTTTTGGCTGCACATGGAGAGCTCTTCAATGGCCATCAATGGAGGTTTGTGGAAGATTGAAGGTGGTCTATTTAACAAAGAAATCAAATTTTAAATTGGTGATGCCATGTGGCACTAAAACATTGGTTAGGGATTAATTTCTACTTTTTCACGCGCCTCTCAAACTTGAGATTGCACATGCTCTGAAAATGGGTTAAAAGAGTGTATTTATTATGGTTAAAACAAGTTTCGTGGGGTAATAGGACCGCAAACTTAAGGTGTCTACTTCAAAAAAGGATATAAGTTCGATGGGATAATTATGTATTTTCTCTTAAATTCAAGTCAAAAGTAATTAATACAGTGTTTGTTTTGATTGTTAGTAAAATTTCATGGTATCGTATCGTTTAAATCTATCGTTACCTAAAAAGACCTATTTTATGGAATGACCGATTTGGTGTGGTCGCGTCATTACCTTAATATTTTCTTCTCATTTTATCTTTATTTATTATTTAATAATTATATTTCATGTTTTACCCTACTTTTTCACAGTATCTCTACCCTGTACTCTATTTTTCTTGTAGATTTATCATTTCAAATAATGAATATGTGACATTATGTAACGATTCTTGTAGGTTTATCATTTTAAGTAACGAATATGTAACATTATGTAACGACAAAAAATTATACAATCTATTCAGACATTGTATTCATTAAAACAATACAATACGATATATCATGAAACAACACAATCATGCAAACAAAGTGTTAAGGATAATTGCAATAGGAGAGAGCAAGATGATTGCACCAAGATAACACTAGTTAATTTGAAGATTGCAAATCCAAAAATTATACGTGACAAAGTATGCAATTCTAAACATGATATGAACAAATTAATTTTCCTAATGAAAATTTTATGTTCATACTAGCAGTATCACCATATGTCTGTGCAACTTCATCGCACGATTCAAACCTTTGCAAGTTCTATCATACGAAAGCCAAAATGTTCTTTACTTGACAAAAATAAAAAATTGAATGAGTTGTCAAAACTGGGTCAAACTGATGAAGCACGAAAGATGTTTGATAAAATGCCTGAGAAAGACGAGTTTACATGGACTACAATGGTTGCGGCATATGCCAATGGAGGGAGGCTTGTTGAAGCAAGGCAAGTGTTCGAGGAGATCCCAATTAAGAGTTCAATTACTTGGTCTTCTCTTATTTGTGGATACTGTAAGCATGGTTTTGAAATTGAAGGATTTGAATTTTTTTGGCAAATGCAAAGTGAGGGACATAGGCCTAGTCAGTTTACATTGGGAAGTATTTTGAGAATGTGCGCGATAAAAGGTTTGCTTTCGAGAGGTGAACAGATACATGGATATGCTATTAAGACTTGTTTTGATATGAATGTTTTTGTAATGACTGGACTTATTGATATGTATGCGAAGTCTAAGCGTGTCTTGGAGGCTGAGTGTATTTTCCAAATTATGTCTCATGGGAAAAATCACGTTACTTGGACTGCTATGATTAATGGGTATTCTCAAAATGGTGATGCATTAAGAGCAATTCAGTGTTTTAGCAGCATGCGTGCAGAAGGGATTGAGGCGAACCAGTATACATTTCCAGGTGTTTTGAGTTCATGTGCTGCACTCACTGATATTAGATTTGGGGTGCAGGTACATGGTTGTATTGTTAATGGTGGTTTTGAGGCCAACGTGTTTGTTCAAAGCTCGTTAATCGACATGTATTGTAAATGTGAAGATTTGCACAGTGCTAAGAAGGCATTGGAACTGATGGAGGTAAATCATGCAGTTTCTTGGAATTCCATGATACTTGGGTATGTGAGGAATGGATTTCCAGATGAGGCACTGTCTCTGTTCAAAAAGATGTATGCTTGTGATATGGAAGTGGATGAGTTTACGTACCCTTCAGTTCTGAATTCCCTTGCTTGTATGCAGGATCCCAAAAATGGGAAATGTCTTCATTGCTTGGTTGTTAAAACTGGATATGAGAGCTACAAGCTTGTTAGTAATGCACTTGTTGATATGTATGCCAAACAGGGAGACCTAGCTTGTGCGATTAATGTTTTCAACAGCATGGTTGAGAAGGATGTAATCTCATGGACATCACTTGTCACTGGCTGTGCTCACAATGGCTTTTATGAAGAAGCTCTGAAATTATTCTATGAGATGAGAACGGCTGAAATTAAACCAGACCAAATTATCATTGCTAGTGTTCTAAGTTCTTGCTCAGAGTTGGCACTACATGAACTTGGGCAGCAAGTTCATGCGGATTTTATTAAATCTGGCCTTGAGGCATCATTATCAGTTGATAATTCTCTTATGACAATGTATGCCAATTGTGGGTGCCTTGAAGATGCCAAAAAAGTATTCATCTCAATGCAAATGCATAATGTGATCAGTTGGACTGCTCTCATAGTGGCTTATGCCCAGAATGGCAAAGGAAAGGAGTCTCTGAGATTTTTTGACGAGATGATTGCGAGTGGAATAGAACCTGACTTTATTACATTTATAGGCCTGTTGTTTGCCTGCAGCCATACAGGCCTTGTTGACGATGGAAAGAAGTACTTCGCTTCAATGAAGAAAGATTATGGGATAAGACCAAGCCCTGATCACTATGCATGTATGATCGATCTTTTGGGCCGTGCGGGGAAAATACAGGAGGCTGAGAAGTTAGTTAATGAAATGGATATTGAACCTGATGCTACTGTGTGGAAAGCGTTGCTTGCTGCATGTAGAGTATATGGGAACACAGATCTAGCAGAGAAAGCTTCAACGGCCCTCTTTCAGCTGGAACCACAAGATGCTGTCCCTTATGTTATGTTGTCAAATATCTATTCTGCTGCTGGAAAATGGGAAAATGCAGCAAAACTTAGAAGAAAAATGAATTTGAAGGGTTTAAACAAAGAGCCTGGTTATAGTTGGATTGAGATGAATGGAGTGGTGCACACATTTATATCTGAGGAAAGAAGTCATTCAAAGAGTGATGAAATTTACTCAAAACTTGAGGATGTTATTGCATTGATAAAGGAAGCTGGATATGTGCCAGACACAATTTTTTCTCTCCATGATATCAATGAAGAAGGAAGGGAACAAAGTCTTTCTTATCACAGTGAGAAATTGGCTATTGCTTTTGGGCTTCTTTATGTGCCAAAAGGAGTACCAATTCGGATTTTCAAGAACCTTCGTGTATGTGGTGACTGCCATAATGCAATGAAATTCGTGTCAAGAGTTTTTGATCGACATATTATTTTGCGAGATTCAAATTGTTTTCATCATTTTAAGGAAGGGATATGTTCTTGTGGGGATTATTGGTAGAAAACACTCCTTTAAATTTTTGTGGCTCTTGTTTCCTTTGCGCTTGGAAAGATAAGAACATTCAATTTTATTGATTGGGTTTGCAGCGCAATCCAAGGTTTACAGTTCACATCTGTATATTACTAACTGCTAACAATGCAGATCATTTATTGGAAAATGGAAACTAAAAGTTAAAAGTTTTATGCAGCTCAATGTGAATGATAAGATTTATTGAAATTGATTGCTCTCTGAGACTTATATGAGAGTCGATCCCTTGTCCTTATTTCGCAGCACTCTCCCACGGCAGGCACCAATCGCCATTCCCCGGCATCAGGGAGATAACTTGTCCTCATTCTGAGAAATATTTTTGACTCCGTGAAGGCAGGGTCTGATGATCCTGAAGAAAGCTTCGTTCTACATGTTATGTGATGAGTTTTCCTCACAGGTGTGAAACCATCTTCAGAGTCTTTTAACAATAATTTTGCTTGGAGTTAATGTTTTTTCATAATTCCTGATATCTTCTCTGCAGTTAAAGTTGGGAGTTATATCCTTTTCAGTCGACAAATTACCCAACCAGAATAGGGACCTGAATGTTCATGCCATAGATAAGTCCATGCTAGTACTTCTGTCTTGTGAAAATCTGTGTGTTGCCTTGAGAGTAAAGATAGACATTGATCCAATGCAAAACCAATATGTCGTTGTCTTAGGTAGTTTACTGTTGTTTATATGGCATGCAAAGTTAATCCTAAAAGAAAGGTAAAGTAAAGGTGTAGGTGCATGCTAGCTTATAGTATAATGTTCTGAAGGCAAAGATGTTTTTACTTTTGATTTAAACTAATGGATTTTCTTTGATTCCGTCGCCTTCCCTAATAGCAAGATTTGGGAAGTTGAAACTATGTTATAACTAGACAACCTCATAAATGAAAAAGATGGTTAATAATGTCATTTCTGGGGTGTGGGTGGGGTAATTTTCCTTAAGTGAGTGTGATACTGTTGTACCTGTTGCTTGGGATCCTACGTTTCCTCATTCTCTTCCTTTTTGTTTCTGCTATAGGCTGTGGATTCGATGATGCTGATCCTTTTAGTTGTATTGCCATGTGAAAAAATGTTTTTGCTTCTGACGGTGCATGCTCTTCTAATTTACTGATTCTCCTGAAAGTAGAATCCTGTAGTGAAGTGTCCTTATAACTCTACAGGTTCTTGCTAGCTGTTTGGTGTTAATAAAGAAAAATTTGATGGAAAATGGCATTCATTGAACAATGGTTTTGATGAAAGAAGAAATATCAGCTGGCAGTGATAAATGGATGAAATCTTCATAAGATTGAGGGAATTCTGTGTACTTTCAAAAAGAAGCATGTGATGCAACTTTGAGGGTAAATACATTTATTTGTAAAACTAAATTGTGTATGGAATTATATTCCTTTGGAGTTTGAAAGGTAAAAAGTAAGTGGGTCACTGTTTACAAGATTAAGATCTAAAAGATGAATCATATGTTTTGGCAAAAAACTCAGTGTCTTTTTGCTTGATATCATTTGATCAAACATAAAAATTACTGGGGCCTTAAGTAGGTGTGCACCGCTAGCTTTATGTCTCTTCAGCAATGCAAAATTATACAATGACAATCTCTTGAATGGGAAATTCCAATCTTCTCATTTGCCCTTACTTTCCAAGGATGCCTGTGTTTTTTTCTCGATGAAGTGGATGGTGGTTATATTACAGAAGTCTAGATATCTTACTTTCATTTTTTATCTTTCTCTTAATGTCTTGCCAATGAATTGGTTGATGTTCTGATTTTGAATGGACGCCTGTTTTAATAATTAATTCAGTTCTATCAAGTTCGTTCACAAATTTCTTATTTGTATGCAAAAGTATAAGAACTTCTGCAATTTCTTGTTCCTCTATGTAAAAGTTTGATAACTTTACTTTTGCTTACAGGAACTTGTTGCTTTCCCACCTTGCAAGCATATGGTAACGTGGATAATATTTCATAAACCCGTGCTCATTGCCTGCCTTAGGTTTTCTGGGGGGCCTCAGTCCCAGTCTTTATTGTGAGCATATGACTAGAGCATAATATTTCATAAAGCCTATTGTCCATTGCCTGCCTTAGGTTGTATGGACCAGAAGAAAAGCACATGTTATTGAATAAAGTATGTTCATCATTCCCAAGTCCTCTATGACAACAGAGCCCTTTCCATTGAAGTCAATGAACGTTTCCTATTATGGGAGCAAGCATGGTACCATAACTACACACATTTCTTGGTACCATCCCCTATGGAGTGGATGAAAACGAAACACAAAAAAGCTGATAATGTTCTCGATGGAGGCAGTAATTAGCGATCAGGATCTCCAACAAGACTCTATGGGACAGGTTTGAAAGGCACATTCTCTTTTGTTTGATCCGGGATACTCAACTTGTTGCTTGGCAAGAGACTTAAAAACAGGTTACCACAAAAAATAAGGTAAGAGTAAAAAAACAAGTCTATTGATAGATTGATTAGAATGTCATAACGTTGTTGTGATGGTTATATCTGTGATGGTGTACTCTCAAGTTTATAGGTCAAATAGGTGTCTGTTACCAATTCATAATCCATCTATACCACATGTCTAGTACTTTGTGCAGTTGTCAATAAGTAAACAGACCTATCTTGATTGTCCTTATTTATTGAATAGAGATGTAATCTCCCTGGTTCAAATTAGCTGTGATCACAGGACCACATAGTTGTACTTATTTAGGTGCTGATTTTTATAAGAGAGATTGTACTTGATGTTAGCTAGTGCTTCGAATCTCCAATTGATGGATGAGAGAACTGTATCCAAAAGGCAGATGATTTGTTAATTTGTTTTTAATGCTCAAATTACGTTACGTTGCCCTCTTTCATCTAAAGAATGTGACTTGGCATTCAATGAAGTGAAAAAATCTTACAAAAAGCAAGAAATTGTCAAAACTTATTCTTTCAACATTTGCCTACAGCTTTGTGGGAAAGAATAGTTGCCAAGTATATGTGCAAAATGAAACTGGTTGATACTTGATGAATTATTCAAGATGTGCGAAAATAAAATCCTTATAGTTTTGGTCAATTCCCGGTATCATTCCATTATATTCTTGAAGTAATAACATAGGTGGTTAATTTTCAAAAATGGGTAAATTCTAGGACTCTATTAGACAGCCAGTAAATGTTCTTCCTTTTTCTTCTTGTCATTGCTGGAAGTGCTTCACATGGTAGATTTCAACAATTAACTTAATATGAATATAATCAGCATGATGCAATTTCACATTTCTATAGGACAACCAGAAGACATGAAATGTTATACTTTAATGAATATAAAACTCCTAATAATTCATCTATAACTCCAAGTTTGGGAGCACTCATTAATCTCATGAATACCCCTCAAACTAGATATTGCTTGCTACAAGGTATAAATTAACAGATGAAAACTCTCATCTAAAACTACTGGGGTACTGAACATAATATGTTTATAAAGACCAACTAGCAAGTAACTAGCTCCCATGTTGTATTCCATCAAATATTACTCAGGCCAAGAAAGCAGCTGCATTTGCTGGAGACACGTAACGCTGATTAGGCAACAAAACCTCTCAAGAAAACCCATTTACAAAAGCCTAAGCAACTGTCTTCACAAAATTCACTTGCGCAAGTGTTCAGGAATAAGGCGCTTTCGCAGTTCAGCGGGCACACCAGAAAGCTCTGTATAAGACAATAGACAAATCAGATTTAAGTATTAAATCATGTGAAAATAAAAGGAAAAACTAAACTGAAGCTCACCTTGAGGTGTAAAGTTGAATAGGGGAGGCAGAGGTCGTCCATTTGGCAAGCAAGCATTTGGTTCCCTTAAAGAATCAAAGAAAGGGTGTGCACATGCTTCTAACTGTCAATAAACACAAAATGCTCTCAACATCAACGGAAAACAGATATCAAGTGCGTTTAAAGGATGATACCACTTACGGACAACAACTTAGTAAGACTATGTAGAGCCATTAATTCTCCACAAAACAGAATGTTATTTCAACATACATTCTGTAGTTTTCTATTTTTGAACTTCATAAGCATGACAGGAGACCACATTGAAGTGCTAAAAGCACAATCAATGAGAACTCGCATATTGAAAGATGACAAAAATGGAACACCATGTTTGAATGATGGGTAAAATGGGAAACTACCAGAATATCCTAAATTCTTGATAATTAAGAAGAAAATTCTTTACTTACAGCAGTACAGCGTAGAGTTGGAGAATATTGCAGAAGCCTTGACACCAAATCTACTGCTTCAGGGGGCATTCTTTTATGAAATATCTGCAGATTGCAATCTCATTAAGATTTGGTATGCTTGCATTGTGTTTTGACATGTGGTTCGTGCTATTTGAATAGACAGTTTTCAACAAACTTCATCAAGGAAATGACAAGGGAAGGATGGAAAGAATTTAACTACTAGTGAAGCAGCCACATCCACCGAAGAAGTTTTCACTAACCTTGTGCCATGGGTGAGCTTTGATCTGGGGAAACTTGAACTCTGTGTAGTTTGGGTTCATGCACCTAATCTCCTCTCTAGTTGGTGTCCCCAATATCTGGCAAGCACAAAGTATACCAAAACGGTTAGCAAGAGAAAAACCACCCGACGTAAACTATTAGAGAGTCCCTTGATTGCACACCTTGATGATTTCGACAAGCTGATCAACGCCACTTTCTCCAGGGAAAAGAGGCTGCAGATAATAGATACAGAACTAAAATGTCAGACACTAGTGGATTCAAGGCTACAAACAATGTAATCTCACCAGGTTATATATTTCTGTTTAATTATTAGTTCTTTGAATCTTCTACATAAGAAAATTGGATTGCACAGAAGGAATTTATCTTAACATCATTAATGGAATCTAACGTGAAACAGAAACAGTGACAAGTGAAACGCAAAAAATTCTAGAGATTACATCACCACCAGTGAAAAGAATAGGATCATGAATATTAATTATAAGTACCAACTAACCTGTCCCAAAAGTAGCTCAGCCATAACGCAACCAGCAGACCACATGTCAATTGCAGTTGTGTACTCAGTAGCACCAAATATCAATTCAGGAGCCCGGTAATAACGAGAACAAATGTATGATATGTTGGGCTCTCCAGGCACCTAGAAAAACGAAGGCTAAAATATTAGGGACTGCTTAATTGTGAAGGGAAAAAAGAATTCTTCTTTAAAAAAGAAGCACCACGTACCAACATCTTTGCACTACCAAAATCACAGAGCTTTAGCTGATGCGAGTGGGGATTAACCTTCAGAAGTTAAATAAGCATCAAATAGTCAGGGCACATAGAGGTGAATGGTGAAGAGAGAAGATATAACTCCACTTAACCACACTACAGGGGTTACTCAAAATATTTCAAGTCATTTTCGCATGCAAATGGAAGATCTAAAAGCAATAAGCATATTATGAGGGAAAATTGAGTGCTCACCAAAAGATTCTGTGGTTTAATATCACGATGGCATACACCAAGGACACCGTGCATGTAATTCAGAGCCCGGCATATCTGTAAAAATTATAATTTAGAGAAAATTCATTACTCTGTGCTCAAGATAGTTTACAAGACAAGAAATTAAAGTTGTTAGGATTTGAAATTCCGCAATCTTGATGAGAAAAAGGAAGAATCCTGCAATAAGCTCACCTGGTATGTGTATAGCTGCACATATATATTGGGCATGTGTTGGTTCATTCTGCTGTAGTGCCTTGAAACTCTGTAAACAGTTTCAGACACGTATTCCAGGACAAGGTTAAGGTAGACTTCATTCTTCTCAGTAGTAGAATAGAAGCAGTGTCGTAGTTTAACAACATTAGGATGATCAAGTGTGCGCATAATCTGAAGTTCCCTGTTCTTGTATCTCCTATCCTGTAAAACCTTCTTTATTGCTACAGATTCACCAGTTTCCAAGCACTTAGCCTGTGAAATAGAAAAGGTGATAAAAAAATCAATAAAAGTCATCCAGACAACGGCAATGCTAACATTATCAATAGACATTAGATAAACATACAACTATACCTGAAAGACAACTCCAAATGAACCAGTGCCAACCACGCGCTCCGCCATGTAAGACAATGTCTGTGAAAATAGCATGAGGTCAACATCGGATTGAGCTAAGTTTAAGCCTATAAGACCATATTGGGGTAAAGAGAAATTAAATTTCATTCAACTAGTTCACCTGTTTCTCTTGTCCATTCCTACCACTCACAGTAGTCACAATAATCTGACCAGTTTCTGTTCCATTTCCACTAACAACAGCAGGTTCCATATCCTATAGGATGCAAGATAGATCAATAAACCTTATTCCAGAATTTAAAGACAGCTACTTTACATACTAAATTAGACATAAATGAGTTAAAACTTTGGGTATACCTTCAAATTATCCTCTAGACTATCAGCTTTATCAACCTTTTCATCCTTAATTTTCATTTCATGCATTTCTTTAGGAAGCTCATCAAGTTCAGAATTTTCAGGTCTAGTATCCATTGCTGATGTACTTCCAGCAGTGGTTTCCTTAGATGTAGAAGCCATGTCTTCCTTTGGAACTGTAGTCGTTGTACATCTCTCTTCCATTTGTGTTTCACTAACCACTCTTTGATCTACTTCTTTCTCAACCTTCACCCTCTTTATGCTTGGATCACCACCCTATTAAAAATCAGTAACAAATCATACTCTTTTCATGAATTACTGATAAATCTAATAAAAATACAACAAACAAAAAGCAAGCTACAAGTTTCCATTATAACTCCCATCACTGCATTATAAGTCCATACTCCATACTATCAAAATCTAGAACACAACAAGCAGATACTAACAGTCCTCACTTAACCCAGTCCCAAGACAAAAGAAACATGTTAAAATCGATAGTCACATGAGTAAATGATCCATCAAATAGCATCTACCTTCTTTAAAGCCAAGACTCTGTAAAGCCTCACTTTTTAAGCCTAACTCGCACATATTTAGAGCTGAAATGGTGAAAATCTAACCATTTAAGAAGTATTCAACACATTTTTTTCAACAACCGCAAAACAAAGACTACAAAAAAAACTAAGAATTTAAATTCCCTAAATTCAAAAACTCTACCTCCTTTTTCTTTAATTTGCAAATCAAAACAAATCATAATCAGAAAAAAAAAATCATTGATTTCTCTCCGTTACCCTAAATTTTTACGTTTTCTCAACCCCAGTGGTTCGACTATACGAATCACTTCTCTCCATTCCCCTTTTATTTAGACCCATTTGAGCCAAAAAAAAATCAAATATAATTCAATCCTAAACTAGCTGGGTTTAATCATATAATCATTTTACACCCATTTCCAGAGAAAGAAAAAAGGAAATTTACAGGATCTGAAACAGAAGAACGTCCAGAAGCAATGCTCTTAAGGCGACGCATGACATTCATATCTGCTGCGCCAAGAGCCCAAAAGAAAAACCCCTTTTGTCCTTCACAAAATTTTCAGAGTAATAAGTCCTCCTCTCTTCCTCAAACACCTGAAAAGTATTTTCTTCAATGGTGAAGATGGGGGAGGGAGAGAGAGAAAGAGAGAAAACCAAAGAAGATAGAGAAAATTAGACTTTGATATGCCAAAATGAGAAAATATGACAACATAAAGCCTCTCCTCTCTCTCTCTCTCTTCTCCTTTTGTGATAAATAAAAATAAATCCAAAAACCAAAAAGCATGATACGAGTCTAGCATTTATATTTTTATTTATTTCACTTTTGACTAAAAAATATAATTTATTTCATTTACTTGCTTCTAAAAAATATTATTTCTAAGAAAAGTAATTAATACTTTATTGTTTTAATTTGTTTGTCATAACATAATAAAATGATTTAATACATTTCATATATTTTTAATTTATATTTCACAAAATTTTATTTATTTTATTTCTTTTTTTACCTTAATTTAAAAGGCATGTTATTATTAATGTTTCATCCCTTTTAATTCAAACATACCTCGTACATATTTAATATTATAAGATTTACAAATATATTTAAAATAAGAATAAGGGTCTGAAAAATATCTCAATTTTGGTCGGATTTTTTGTTGCGATACTAAACTTTCATGAGGAACTATTACCTCCCTAGACTATTTAATACCGTATTTTAAACATATATATTTGCCCACGTGGACATAAAAAATAATGCAAAATTATAAATAGTAATGTGTCCACGTGGGCACATATATACCTTTAAAATACACTATTAAATAGTTCATGGGTAAAAAATACGGAATTTTAAATTGTCTAGGGATGTAATAAGTCCATATGAAAGTTTAGTATCGCAACAACAAATCCGACCAAAGTTGAGGTATTTTTCAGACCCTTATCCCTTTAAAATACATATCTATTTTCATTTAAGATTATTAAAATAAACAAATTATCTCATTTCTTAAACATTCAAATTAACACACTTAAAATATAAAGAAGGTAAATCTCATGTAATTTTAAATACAATCACAAATCTCTAAAAAACTAAAAATTTAACTAATCAACTATCTAAATTTTCATCTTATCTTATTCGTGAGAGTCTGATTCTCAAAATTCACTCAAGCATATATTGGATAGAACAATAATTCTTCTTTTTAAATTAGGGAATGAAATTGTAAATAAACAAATAAAACTCCAAAATAATTTATTTTTTTAAAAAAGGAAAAAACGACAAAAGGGAAATCTCTCTCTACTAAAAAAAATTCAAATCAAAATTCAAAATTATCAGTGGTCAAAGTCATGACCGAAAGCCCAATCATTCCTGTCTGCATATTTTTTCGTACTTGCAGTCAAACTTTAATTTTGGGCCGTAGATTTAAATCATGCTGAATCGAACGGTGGATAAATCAGAAGCTTAAGTAAATGACGATAATATCCTTAGCGTGATAAGGGATTTACGAGGGGGCGTGCGATTTGAGACAATAATTATGCCAGCGGAATATTCGCGGGGGTCTTCTTGTCTAACACTTTGACTATTCCTTATCCTTTTCGTGGTTAGTTTATGACTTTGAATTTATCTTTTACATCCATTGGTTAGAAAAAGAAACAAGGATCCAATGAACCAATGTGTACAAAATAACCTATATTTATCTTAGGAAAAAAGCATTTAATAGAATGAATAAGGTACGTTACTTGAGTCCATAGTCAAGTGTGGAAATAGTTTTTAATCTTCAAAAAGTTGGGATAAGCATATGTATTACATTATCTTTTCAGATTTTATCTTTTAAATTTATTTTACTGAATATGTTATTGTCAGAGTGAAAAAGATACATTTTGATCACAATTGATTTTACAACATCCTTCTCTATTTCAACCTCACCACCTCCCACCCCCACCATATAATCCACCCAAATGCCCCTGATCGACAAAGGACTCGACCTAAGATCGCTTGATCTGAGACCCCTGCCTAGTACTCGACCCCAACCAAACCCTAATATAGGATTTGACACCCAGTCTATGACCTTTCCCACCCTCAACTATAACTCAAGCTCGACCCCGACATATGACCAAACCACCAACTTAAATCGAGACTTGATCCAGACCTAAAACTTGACCAAGTTACGAATTAGTATTAGGGCAACATCTCAGTTTTTTAATCGAGGGTTAGGTTAAGTCTTGGGACTCATGATCAAGATCCGGTTTGAGGGCCGAATCACGAATCTCGAGTAAGGGCAGAGTTTGAATTGGATCTCGAGTAAGGTGGAGTTGAGATTAGATCTTGGGATCTTAATGTTAGGTCTCGAGGGTCAAGGTCAAGGTAGGAGTTGGTTCTCAAGTTTTAACGTTGGGATCTTTAGGACCCAATGCCTTAAATTTTTGGTCGAGTTTGAAGGTTGGGTCTTTGGTTGGGGTCAATATAAGGTCTCGAAGTAAGGGGTCACTTATTTGGTAAGGTCTAGTTAGGGTTAGATCTCAAGGTCGAGATTTCGAGGCTCTAATTAAGGTAGTGGGTCGAGGTTAGGGTTTGATCTGTGGTCTCAAAATCAAGATCTCATGCTTGATCCCGGGGTCAAGTTTTCGGTCTTGAGTTTTGAGTCAATATTGGGGCCAACTTTTATGTTAATGTCAAGGTCGTGTTATAGCTCAATATTGGGGATAGGTCCCAAGTTAGTGTCGTGTCAAGGGTCGAGTCTTGCATTGGGTTAGGATATGAATTACGTTGGTGTAATATACCACAAATATAAGAAATTACTTTTGAAATAAAATGTTTAAAAATGAATAAATAATTTTTTAGGCTGAGGCGCAGATATCTCGCAATTTTAAGGAGATTCAAGTCCACTGCAACATAATCTACAGTGATCCATCAGTAATACTCTTGATTTGTCTCTCCAAGATACAACAGCCTAACAACGTCGTACAACTCAAACAACTCCTATTAGTTAAAGAGTTCGAAGTTCCACATAAGAACACCTTCATTCAACATATAAATATTTTTCTTTTGTATAATGAATATAGTAGAAGACCTAGAATATTTTCTTTCTACACAAGATAATACTTCTCGTCTTTTCTTCCATTTTTTTCATATCCTATCTATTGTTGTCTCATCTTTCTTGGATACTTCACAAAGAAAGAAAACTATTATTTGTAGGTGAAGAAGTCTTCAATATAATCAATGGGTAAAATGAGGGTAGTAATGTGAATATATAGGTAAAGAAAACTATTATTTATAGGTGAAGAAGTCTTCAATATAATCAATGGGTAAAATGAGGGGTAGTAATGTGAATATATAGGTAATCGTGATAGATGTTACATAAGTTACAAGAAACTAATGGTCAAATGAGTTACAAGAAACTAATGACCATGAAAGTTACAAAAAATAATGGTCGTATAAGTTATAAAAACCAATAGTCATCTTCTACCAAATAATAAAATGCATATGCACCAATAGATCATAGTCCCAAGCAATAACTAGTAATATTTGTTTAGGTTATACCTAACTATTCATAAGACAATATTTTTATTTACGAACCAAACATGGAAAATAAGCAAGTAAATTATTTATTTTCTAGGAACATATTTTTCGTGTAAAACATTTCCTCGTTACAAAACACATTCATCATATGCTAAATTTTTCCTTATCCTATTGCAACATAAAAAAATCATTCGATGACTATAGACAATTCAAAAAGTGACGATCAAGGTTGTGTTTGGTAGGGAAGAAAATAATTTTACTTTTATTTTAAATATTTGGTTGGTCAAACAGATGTTTTGAAAAATAGTTTGCTCTAGTAAATACGTTTTTCATAAATGAAGAAAATGTTTTTCCTAATGAGAGTAGGGAAAACAAATTTCATATTTGACAATTTAATTTCATTGTCTCATTTCCATCAACCCAATGTCTCCAATGACGAAATCAGAAATTTTATTAAGGGTATCTAGGATTTAAGATATATATATATTATAACGTTTTGACGAAGGGTGTTTGATTATCCACCTTGAGTTATGTGTGACTACACCACTGAATGTCTCCCAACTCCCCACCCTTGAACCCTACTCCCCACCTCATATTTGGTTTTTTAGATTGCATATAAATACTACTATAAGATAATATTTTTTTTTACTTACTTAGCAAATAGTAGAACAAACGACTTATTTTTTAAAAGAAAAAACATTTTCCTTTGTACCAAACACCCTAAATTAGAATGGACGAACATGTTTAATTATATTTTTTTGCAAATATTCCAAAAAATCTACGACTTATTAAGAAAAGATCCGGTCAAATATACTTAGGTCAAGTAATGTTCAATGACCTTATAGATTCATGTGTACTATATAATAATTTATGATTGAGATTCATTTAAATTATATACTCATCTTAATAATAAAAATAACAAAGCCATCAACTATTTTTATTTTTTAAAACTATTAAATAAAGAAATTAGTGTACCCTAGCTAATATTTTCAAGAGAAAAATAATTAAGATTGGCGGGAATACTTCCCGACCTTTTTAACCCGCCAAACCTCATCTGTTACAAGTACATCTATCCCTTTTTTTCCTTCTAAGAAATCCAAGATTTTCAAGACGTAGAAACAGTGATTCTTTTGAAATACAAGGTTTGATTTTGTTCTCTTCTTTAAGTTTGATTCCTTTATATATATTAAAGTTGATTTTTTGATATTTGTTTGATCGCTAGTTCTCTTTTGATGTTACACTCTTGTATTGAATTTTTAAAATTATACTAATTTGAAAGAATCTGACACTTTTGAAGAATTCGAATAAATATATTTTTATAATTTGATCTAATTTTGGAGATTACTTAAGAATTTGGAGAAAGCATGTGTGAAATTACTCCTGAAGAAGTTTTACAAAGGAACTCTCATAAACTTGTAGATTATGAGCCGAAACTTGGTCTTAAGTTTGATAGTGATGAGAACGCACTTAGATTTTATAATGAATATGCAAGAAGAGTTGGTCTTGGTGTTCGTAAAGAGTATGTGGCGGGTAAAAAAGGTCGGGAAGTATTCCCGCCAATCTTAATTTTTTTTTCTTGAAAATATTAGCTAGGGTACACTTAATTGCTTTATTTAATAGTTTTAAAAAATAAAAATAGTTGATGGCTATGTTATTTTTATTATTAAGATGAGTATATAATTTAAATGAATCTCAACCATAAATTATTATATAATACATATGACATGAATCTATAAGGCATTTGATCGGATCATTATCCGAAAAATAGTCCCTTTTTTTCCATTCATTTTTCTTTCTCTAGTGGTTGAGGTGACAATGAAAAGTTTGTACTTGGGAACCACTAAGCTTGTTTGTTCAAAATTTGAGGGTCTCAACAAGTATATTATATTCTAATGACAATTAATTAAAAGATAAATTCCAATATCATATAAGATTGATATCAAATAAGTAAGTTGCATGAAATGAACTATATGAATTTATTAAGCAATTAGCTGACTTTTAATGTACGTTCTCCAGAAAGTTATGACCAACTGTTCTTATTAAACAGGATATGATTTATTATATGAATATACTATAAAGATTCTTCTAATTTAATTTAATAGTCTCATAATCTATATCTTAAGATTTTCACAATCATCGCATAAATATTTTCAAACTTCTTTATATTTGAAAAAAATATAATTACATGGAATGAAACATGATTCAGTTCAAGAATGATTTATTATTGGACTTATGTTATGGTAGTTACTTTTACGGAAAGAACATAAAATAGTTTTAAAAATTAATATTCTCGTTCAATTAGTTTATTAGTAAAAATGAAAACATTAGCTAGTGTTTGTCCACAGAATTTGGATCAGATTATAAAAGTTTATCTTCAAATATCTGTTTTGCCAGACTAGTTTTCAGGTTTTAGGAACTATGAATTATTATTATTTTTTATTAAAAGTAAAATGCATATCCAAATACAAATTCAACTTTAAAATATAACTTTAAAAACTTAAATTTTCATGTTTCATGTTCAAAATCTATGACCAGAATATTTTGAAGCTTTAAAAAATTAACTTCCATCAATAAACAATAGACTTATATACAAACCAATAATGTTTGCCTTCAATGTCATCTTAAGTAGGTGATGTTAACATTAAGGTAGTTGAAATTTGAAATACGAAAAGCTTGACTTTTTTAAAACAATCTGTTTCTTCGAATTGAGCCAACGATTGTGACATTTTTTACCAAATATTTAAAGCACATACAAATAAAATATTTGAATACACAATAATGTAGCATACAAAATATTCTCTTTTTTGTTAACTTAGAACTTACACATAGTCACATACATATTTGATTCTATGACAATTTAGGTGACACTGACTTTCTAAATTTAATCGTAAGTGTTTGCTTCTAAAAGTTGATAAAACATTATCTCATCCACTATTAATTTTGCAAAACATCAAACAAATTCAACATAATATCTTTATTCCTCTTCTTTTTCGGAATCTGATCAATTTCAATTATTTATAATAACATATTCAATAAAATTTCACGAGTTATATAGGTGAAAATCTTTACAAGTGAATGCCTCAATCAATAGAGCGTGCGGGTCACGTAGTGCAACTAATTTGAATCAAATCGGAGAGAATTATATAAGTATGATCCAACTTATAATTTCTTAAATTATTAGCAACATGGTTAAAATAGAATAACGGGTACAAGAATGTGGTGCCTGGTTGTGATTTGTAGAAATCAATGCTGTTATTTTAATCTAGTACTATAACATTAACGTACACTGGGATGTATATTTAATGTGATAAAATAACATGGTAAAAAAGATAAGCATTGACCAGTCCTTCTAACATGTGACAAACTAGGGATTTATTAGGACCATGAGTTATTTTTCCCCTTTTATATACATATTTTAAAACAATGTTTAATTATATAGGTTGAAATTGATTTTTTAGTTAGTTATTGAGTTGAAGAACTAGTTGAAATTATCGTTTCGCTTATAAAAATATATTTTTTTCAATTAAAATACATGTCGAACGAGATTTAACTTTTGATCATTTTTTTTTTAAGTTATCATTTAATTTCGTATATTTGGTAATTGGTATAGGAGAAATTTTTTTTATTTTTTTTGAGAATGACTTTCTCTAGAAAAACTATAGAAAATAAATTTCATAATAAGTCATCTATCAAGGTTATTGTCTTTTCGTCATCCCAACAATCTAATCCCCACCCCTTGACCATCCTAAACACTCATTTCCCCACCCCATCCCTCACATATTTTCTTCTAATACGTATGCATATTTTTGAAATAATATTATTTTACTAATGTATCAAAACTTAAAAATTAAATTAAAAACTCGCGTATTTTTTCCCTTTTTTTAGAAAAACATTTACCTATAATGTCCCTTTCTTTGTGGGTACTGGGTAGCTAGACAAATTATGTTGATGTATTGTTAAATTAGGTCTTAGGCCTAACTCACCCCCCAAAAGTTAGCTCAAAAGGAGGAGGATTGCTCAAGCCTTATAAGGAGTTCACCCATCTCATTAACCATCGATGTGGGACTTTTGTCATTCTTTAACACCTCACCTCACGCCCAGTGCTTAGCATCTGGTGCGTGGGCAATTTTGATTTTGGGAGTCCAAACATCGGGTGAAACGGATCCTGCTCTGATATCATGTTAAATTAGGTCTTAGGCCTAACTCACACTCCAAAAGCTAGCTCAAAGGGAGGAAGATTGCCCAAGTCTTATAAGGAGTCCACCCATCTCATTAACTATCGATGTGGGACTTTTGTCATTTTTTAACATGTATGTATGTTTGTGTCAAAACTGCTGCCTACTTCCTCCAAAATTGTCCAAAATTTCACCTTTTTTTTCTTGTTTGTGTAAGACTTATGCCATGCTGCTCTGTGCCTGATGGAGACTCCGCCTACTCTACTCAGCGAATTATTTGACTTTCAATCACTCGCCTCTTTAACTTTTTCTAACAACTACTCTCTCTGTTTCAATTGATTTTTAATCAGTTCCAAAAAAATTGACATTTTTTTATATTAAGTAATAATTTAATTATAAAATATTTGTTTTATGTTTAATGAAATGATTTACAATCACATAAATTTCTATAATTCATTTTGGATCACAAATTTTAAAAGTTTTTATTTTCTTAAACTCTGTGCCGAATCAACTATCTCACATAAAATAGAACGGAGAAAGTAATAAAATATACAATCTTATATATATGGATATATTAATGAAAAATTTATTTTGTGACTCACAACTATTATTGGTCGAGTGAGATTTCTCCTTATCTCATAAGTTGATTCATTGAAATTTTCACCTTTGAGATAATATAGTCTCATATAACTAGCCTCAGTAGTGAGACACAAAAACAGAATTTTCACTATAAATGGAAAAATTACTCAAATACACGTCTTATGTTTTCCTTATTTTCAATATTCCCTTTTATTTCTAAAAATTTCTAAACTTCCTTATTTCTCTCCTAATTCCAAATTATTTTATAATGTATCCGATCTAGTTTTTAATGTATTCAAGCTATATATTATGTATCCGGTTTATTTTATAATGTATCCGAGCTAGTTTTTAATGTATACGAGCTACATATTATGTATCCGGTTTATTTTATAATGTATCCGAGCTACATATTATGTATCTGGTTTGTTTTACTTTTTTAAGGGTTAAATGTAATTACAAACTAAATAGGGATAAATTGTAATTTTATATTAAAACTATGTGATTACTACTAAGAGCAATTTTCACACATAGCAAACATAAAAATCATATTTGTATGTTACAGCTATAGTTTGCATAATTGAGCTTCATAGCAAACATAAATATGTATATTTCGCTATACATTTACAAAGAAAGCAGTTGTATAATCTGTTTCAGTATACATATACAAAAGATCAATTGTATAATCTGTGTTTGTATAAAGCGATAAAGAGAGAAAGACAAAGGAAAACTGGGCAGGGAAATATCGTATTTGTATAATCATAAGTGTATAGGACGAAAATATATGTATTTGTATATACAATTTTTTCTCGCTTTATACAAACACAAACACAGAGTATACATTTGTATTTGTATAAAGTGAGAGGGGCGAGTGAGAGTGACGAGCGAGATCTGGGAGAGGGGAGAGATGAGAACAAAAATATATGTATATATACAATTTTCTCTCACTTTATACAAACAAAAACACATTTTATACATTTTTGTTTGTATAAAAGCGAAAGAGGCGAGGGAGACTGCCCAGCGAGAACGAGAGTGGCGAGCGAGATTCACCAGGAGAGAGGCGAAATAGCAACAGTTTGCTATGGGGTACAATTAAATCAAACTATGGTTATAGCATTTAATTTGAATTAATTGTTTGTTATTATATACAATTTTCCCTACTCAAATTTATACTAATACATTCCTATCTTTGGTTGGGCTTCTTGGGCCGTAGATCGCACTACTACTTCCCCATGGACCCAAACAGTTTTCATCATATAGCAACTCTTTATGTGCAATGAGATCTTCTGAAGAGAAAAAAAAAAAAAACAGTGCAAGTTTGAGTATCATTAAATTGAAGCATTAGAGCCTTTGTAAACCCAAAGAAAATAATAGTTTAATTACAAAATTTAAATTTTCCATTTTTCCCCGTAATTAGTTTGGCTATGTTTAAATTTTAAAAACACATAGCCATAAAACTCAAGCATGAAGAACTGAAATGGGCTACAAAGATCAACAAACTGTTAAACCAAATGGGCCGAACAAATTAAATTGTCCTCACAAAACTTTGATGTGAATTCTGGCCCATAATAATTTATTTTTGGTCCAAATGTGAATTAATGGATTGATGACTGATCAAATTATTTCTTCCATAGGTCAAATTAGGTCAGGACAAGTAGTGTTAGTTGAATCGTAAGAAAGGACAACGACTAATTAAGTAAGCAATAATTTTTTTGTTTATTGTCCCTAAAAAGTGTTAAAAGCAAACAAGTACGCGAAATTAGAATGATTATCTTTTGCGCAGAAAGATATAGTATATGATTGTTATGTAGGGCCCCCCTTCAGCAATTGAAGTTAAATTTTGAGTAAAATATTTAATAATGTAGAAAATCAAGTGTAGGACCATTTTGTACATTGTCCCTTTGACTATTTTCACATGCTAAAAGAGAAAAATCATTGAAAATAATTGAGTTTTTAAAATAATAATACAGCAATGTAGTACTATTTATCACCTAAAGTGCTATACTGAGGTCTTTGGAAACGTTTTTGGAGAAATATGAGAATGGACAGGTTCATCTTTGGCATATGTGACACATTATTGGTATACCTATATAAGGGACAATTCAATGGAAAAGGCCCAACTTGGACTCTATTACACGAATTTGAATCCAATAATTGAGAAAATAATCTCATGTCTCCACTTACTATTTCAATAAGAATATAATATTACAAAATAGGGACGAGGGTTTAATTTACGTCCCAAAAGTTAGTTCAAAGGGAGGAAGATTATCCTATTCTTATAACGTGTTTGGGGATCTCATTCC